CACCTTGTTCTCATGCGTAGCATAGACTGGAGGTGGTTGAGCGCCATAACCATACCCTGGGGCCTGGGACGGCATTGGCTGCGCGACATAGCCATGGGCATAACCTTGTTGGATTGAAGATTGGTTGGACGTCACGACTACGGCGCCTGCGTTATGAACGGGTACACCAGTGGTCATGACCACGACAGGATCCTACAGTAAAAATATCAAGTGTGATTGGCGAGAGAAGGACAATAAATTTTTGCGAATCAGAGTAAATTTAAAATACATTAAAATGGATCCAACAATAACCGAAGCTAGCTATGTATGCCACTAATAAATCTAATCTCCCGCTGTTTTGAATACTTTAGCGTTGTTAAACGCACAAAGTTTATATAGAACTTGCCAGTTGATGTTTTTCATTAAAAAACGGTCTTTGGGAAGTGGAAACGACTACACGATGTGTTTAACTTTAAACGTAATCAAACTATCATGGCGGAAAACTGCAAGGACTTCATGTTACACAACACGATTTGCACTTTACGCTCAAATATGAACTGGAAGCTGGAAGATCTGAGAACAAGCGGAGCACCACATTCTCCTAGAGTCCTCACGTGACTCATGTGGTGGCTAAGCTATGAAGTCACAGAGTAAAATACTTACACGTGGTGCGCAACATGTTCCCATACATCCAAATATGGACGCAGTGAATGTAACAATAGTGAGAATGATGTAGACGACAAGAACAGCGACAAAAACAGAGTAAACCGTGTCAATATCGTCGCACTTCATGTTCCCTGAAACAAAATATGTAAATAATAACAAATGTCAACGACTGTCAGAATCATTAAAAGGCGAAGTTTATACATCTTTTGATTATGTTATCCTTCGATGACCAAATTGTCCTTTACCAGGCAATAATTTCAGAAAATATAACATTCATGTAAAATGCAGTGATTATCAATGGCAACATATGAATTAAAAATTTTTGAGCTTCCATTACACGTAATTTTATAAGCAAATGTCAGCAAAGTTTTGAAAACGCAAAAACAAAACAGAAAATCACGTAAAGCAAAGTTTTGAAAACGCAAAAACGAAACAGAAAATCACGTAAGCAAAGTTTTGAAAACGCAAAAACAAAACAGAAAATCACGTACAAACGCGAGATGATGGAAGAACACTCGGAAAGCGGGTTTTGTTATCTGTAGGGACATAGTATCAAATGATTTATTTTATACTGAAAAAAATAGAGAAATGAAACTCTTTGCCAAACACCGAGAATGAATGAATCAATGAATGGAAATCTTTATTTAAAAAGGGTCGCTCTGTCATGTGCTAAATGCACTTGTTATCAATAGGGAAAAAAGAAAGAAATATTTGAGTTCAGGTTAATTAAAGCCGTATAATAAACCTTTCATTAACCTCGCTTGCTCTGCCTTTAAAAATAAATATCGCACCTCTGTCTCTAAGTACTAACCTCGCCCTATGGCCTCGATATGTACAAAAACACCTCGGTGCCATATTTCTCCGTTAAGACCTCAAGTTTGGTTAATAGAAGGGCTTAGCAACGCACGCCTTAGCTCTACATAGCATTAAGTTTTCTTCCATACCGAAGAACGTTCAATGTTAAATATGAAAGCAACAAAACACGCCTTACATCTTACTGAATTATAATCAGAGTAGATAGATGTTGATGTACAATAACACTGATCACCCACGTCGCTGCAACTATAATCTCCGGATGACCTCACTTCGTTCATAAGGATTACTATTATTATCAGAATAACACTGGCTACGCTGGAAACAATAACGGCGATGATGTTGAAGAAAAGGGCAAACGCCATCTGAAAACACAAAAATGAGTTTTGAATAAAAACAAATGAACCCAAGTTACATGCAGCTCTGAATTATCTGCTTTTGCAAGTTATGTCTCGTGAAATTGTTTTCTCCATTCTTTGGGTTGCATTCCCCAAGCGTCGATAAACTGACCTATATATCAATCAATGGATGTAGCATGTCACACGTCACGTCCAAATCACTAGAGTTCAAAATACTGCGTAATACAAACCCTAATAATTTTTGAAGCCGTGATTTTACCCCAGACACGCATGTAGTAAATCAATTATTACCCGCGAGAGAATCACAAACACTACACACACGTGTCTTGGGTAAATCTCGCGTGTCTGATATAAGATTTGGCTTCAATTATTTGCTTGTGGTAAGCGTTCAATTTTTTGAAAAATTATTAAGACTTTTCAAAATATATGAAATATGTTTGAAATGTTGATTGTTAAGCATTTAGGATTCAAAACAATCATTGTGGTTATAAGAAAAGGTTTTCCATCGAAATTTCTATAGTTTGTTTGCATTAAAAAGGAGAACATGACAGACATATCCCACATATCCCACATCATAAACATATCCTTCATATCCCACAGCACAACTTGCACTTCACATATCCCACATGACAAACATTCCTACATATCCTACATATCTAACATGACAAAGATACCCCACACGTCTTGCATACCAAACATATTATGGACGCCTTTACTACATTCAATCGTAAAAACACGACAAAACGACAAATCAAATTGAAATGTGTCAATGTCATGTCATGTTCCCGAAGAGCATTTTAAAAATGGAGAAATCAAACATAATTAGAAATTAACTAGAACATTAATTTTCTTAGTCATTTTGAAAGTGTGCATGCATAGTCTTCTACTGCTCTACAATTTATTTTGAAAGTGAATTAAATTTATCAAGAAGTTTAATACACTAAACTGCGGTTAAAACTTAACAAGAGCTATTTTTCAACTGTGCCACAATACTATTCCACTCACTAGAAACTAACAAAACGAAAACTGAGCTAATAAAATCCTTTATAGTTTTATCCTTCTGAATACAGTGAAGTCTTCGCGCGCAGCAAGAAATACATTTTAGAGATAATGAAGTCTTAATTTGTAAATTTTACGGAGATAGTTTTCCAGTTTTCACCGGCGCCATAAGTTGAAATGGCAAAGCCTTAAACTGAGGCCAAGCTAAGTCTGATCTTCTTCTATAGTGAAGAACGCTCAATGTTAAAATAACAAAACACGCCTTACATCTTACTATTGTATAAAGAAAACTTGTACCATAACAATAACACTGATCACCCACATCTGTGCAACGATAATGGGATGACCTCACTTTGTTCACAGCGATTGTTACGACCATTAGAATAACACTACATTGCTATCCATTCCACTTTTCTTCATTAATACAAGGTACTACGTCAAATTTCACTGATCAGGACAAAATTTTTTTGGTTTTGTAGAAGCTGCACTAAATATTAAAGTTCTTGCTCACTTACTTCTAACCGAAGATCTTGTCTCTATTACATACCAATGTCCCAAAACCATCTTTAGTTGCTGTTTCCATGCATTGATTATATAAAGAATGACTTCAAAAATAATTCAAATATTCTTTATTTTAAATTAACATTATAAACTTTTATCAAAGGACACAGAGTAAATTAGTAAATTAGTATGTATAGATCAGAATCATAACTACATTTCTTGTTGAGAAATATATATACAGGATCACTTTTTCAATCAATGTGCCAGAACTTTTCACTCTCCTTTTCATGGTATGACAAAGACAACTTTTATCTATGAAAGTCCTTGCTAATCCAATTTACAATAAAACAAAGTTTGAACCCAAGCAAAAAACCCCAGCGTTCTGGCTTCTGAAATGGCTCACTGAAAAATATTCTTTCTTGAACTGTAAAACAAGATCTTGAGCATAAAGCCTTAACTGAAGATTAACAATCATCACAACCTATGAAAGAGATTGTTGAAAAATACAAAAGTTTACCACTTCTGACATATTGTAAACAAATGTTGTATATAATGTTGAGTTCTAGCTTGGTGTTTTGAGATTTTATAACTTCTTTTTGCAAAATATCTCTCAGTTGTATACAGAATGCAATAAGAATGACTTTAGCAATATTTACACTAACTCTTAGCAATGGAAGTTTATGGAACTTACAGCCTTCTTCATTTCTGTAACACCAATGATTTCACTAGTTTTCTTTTGTTACAATGATAATAAGTGAAAGAATTGTATACTGTAATCAATACTTTTAAAATTATCCTTAAGGATGTGACAGCATAAGTTCTTTTTATGGAAAGGGGAAAAAACAGCATGGAACATTCTTCTACATAACCACAAATATTTAAACTCATTTAGTTTCTTAGGAAGTGCATTTCCCTCGCGAGAAGAAATTGTATTTCACCTAAATTGATTCGTTTGTTATGGTGAAAAGAATTTTGAGGCTTCAACAAAAGTTAGTTCTCATTGTTCAAGACAGGAAAGTGTTCAGATGAGCAACTACTACCAACGTGTGACAGTTTGCTTCAACATATTCGTTGGTCAAACTACCAAGCTGCACTTTGGCCTTTCTTTTTACAACCACAAATGGATATTACTCCTCCAGATGAAAATGGGTGGCAAACGAGTGACGGGAAACTGAAAGTCTGAAGTCGTATGGATGACCATTCCCTAGCGCCGGATTCCTACTTGATAACGTTCATTGTGGTTGTAAGACTGGCTGCAACGTGGCTGTAACTCCCAACGTTGTTTATGTAACAAAGCCGGAGTGAAGTACACAGATGTATGGTCGTTTACTGCATGCAGGAATGTAGATATTGATAACGACAATGATGTTGAATAACAAAGTGTTGTTAATTCAGTAAATTTGTAGCAATCTTCCATAAACGTCATTGCAGTTGAAATTTTGGTAGCAGTAGTAGGATTCTGTAATATTTCTACATTATTTAAGAACCAGCAGCATCATATAATCTCCAGTTTGTTTTAAAACAATGCAGGTCGACCTTGTACCATCTCAATTTTCTGCCATTATAAAGCCAAGAAGACAAACTTTTTAGGATTAAATATCTTTGCCGGTTGTTCTGTCCCTTTCACAAAAATTTTGCTCGAATCAAAAGTTTGTAGAACGAATAAAAACGCATAAACTGTGATTTTGTAATACAAAAGTATACTTCAATTATCTTACTATATTTTATACATGATGCGTTATCCAGTGAAATATACATATCAGTGATTGTAAGTGATACTTTCCAACTTCCTTGAAAACAGCTTCCTACACTCGGGAAAGTAAAATAAGAAAAGAAAAACAAAGAGAAAGAGCAAGTTATTCCAGTTCAAAGAGAACTTACAAGAAGTGTTATTGCGACTTTAAAACAAGCTTTTCGTGCTACATTATGACACTATTTCTACGTATTTTACGTAAACGTATTTAAGTTTGAGCGACGTGTTTTGTAGTTAAATTGATAGACTATTCACAAATCACCTGTCAGCTCTCTTGTAGTAGACTATTTTAACTAACAAGTAGTTCAGACAAAGCCATCTGGGGTAAATTGATTAGTTTGAACTTTAAAATGATTATTAATTACTAATTAAACGTAAACATCAAGCATGAAAAAGGAGTAGCAAAATACTGATTAACTGAATGGATTTCTTAATTCGCCAAGAGCACCTTGTTCTCATACGTAGTATAGAATGGAGGAGTTTGATCGCCATAACCATACACTGGGGCCTGGGACGGCATTGGCTGCGCGACATAGCCATGGGCATAACCTTGTTGGATTGAAGATTGGTTGGACGTCACGACTACGGCGCCTGCGTTATGAACGGGTACACCAGTGGTCATGACCACGACAGGATCCTACAGTAAAAATATCAAGTGTGATTGGCGAGAGAAGGACAATAAATTTTGGCGAATCACAGTAAATTTAAAATACATGAATATGGATCCAACAATAACCGAGGCTAGCTATGTACGCCATTAATAAACAATCTCCCGCTGTTTTCATTACTTTAGCGTTGTTAAACGGACAAAGTTTATATAGAACTTGCCAGTTGATGTTTTTCATTAAAAAACGGTCTTTGAAAAGTGGAAACGGTTACACGATGTGTTTAACTTTAAACGTAATCAAACTATCATGGCGGTAAACGGCAAAGACTTCATGTTACACAACACGACTTGCACTTCACGCTCAAATATGCACTGGAAGCTGGAAGACCTGAGAACTAGCGGAGCACCACATTTTCCAATCCGTGCATCAAAATACAGATACAGTGAATCTACTTTTTTACTAAGAGCACATTCTCCAGGAGTCCTCACGTGACTCAGGTGGTGGTTAAGCTATGACGTCACAGATTAAAATACTCACACGTGGTGCGCAGCATGTTCCCATACATCCAAATATGGACGCAGTGAATGTAACAATAGTGAGAATGATGTAGACGACAAGAACAGCAACAAAAACAGAGTAAACCGTGTCAATATCTTCGCACTTCATGTTCCCTGAAACAAAATATGTAATGTCAACGACTGTCAGAATCATTAAAAGGCGAAGTTTGTACATCTTTTGATTATGTTATCCTTCGATGACCCAAATTGTCCTTTACCAGGCAATAATTTCAGAAAATATAACATTGATGTAAAATGCAGTGATTATCAATGGCAACATATAAATTAAAAATTTTTGAGCTTCCATTACACGTAATTTTATAAGCAAATGTCAGCAAAGTTTTGAAAACGCAAAAACAAAATAGAAAATCACGTAAAGCAAAGTTTTGGAAACGCAAAAACGAAACAGAAAATCACGAACAAATGCGAGATGATGGAAAAATACTCGGAAAGTGGGTTTTGTTATCTGGAGGAACATAGTATCAAATGATTTATTTCCTACTGAAAAAATAGAGAAATGAAACTCTTTGCCAAACACTGAGAATGAATGAATCAATCAATGAAAATCTTTACTTAAAAAGGGTCGCTCTGTCATGTGCTAAATTCACTTGTTATCAATAGGGAAAAAGAAAGAAATATTTGAGTTCAGGTTAATTACAGCGTATAATAAACCTTTCATTAACCAAGCTTGCTCGGCCTTTAAAAATAAATATCGCACCTCTGTCTCTAAGTACTAACCTCGCCCTATGGCCTCGATATGTACAAAACACCTCGGTGCCATATTTTACCGTGAAGACCTCAAGCTTGGTTAATAGAAGGGCTAAGCAACACTCGCCTTTGCTCTACATAGCATTAAGTTTTCTTCCATACCGAAGAACGTTCAATGTTAAATATGAAAGCAACAAAACACGCCTTACATCTTACTGAATTATAATCAGAGTAGATAGATGTTGATGTACAATAACACTGATCACCCTGGTCGCTGCAACTATAATGTCCGGATGACCTCACTTCGTTCATAAGGACTACTATTATTATCAGAATAACACTTGCTACACTGGAAACAATAACGGCGATGATGTTGAAGAAAAGGGCAAACGCCATCTGAAAAACACAAAAAATGAGCTTTTGAATAAAAAAAAATGAACCCAAGTTACATGCAGCTTTCTGAATTATCTGCTTTTGCAAGTTATGTCTCGTGAAATTGTTTTCTCCATTCTTTGGGTTGCATTCCTCAAGCGTCGATAAACTGACCTATATATCAATCAACTGGATGTAGCATGTCACACGTCACGTCCAAATCACTAGAGTTAAAAATTACTGCGTAATACAAAACCCTAATAATTTTTTGAAGCCGTGATTTTACCCCAGACACGCGTGTGTAGTAAATCAATTATTACTCCGCGAGAGAATCACGAAACACTACACACGCGTGTCTTGGGTAAATCTCGCGTGTCTGATATAAGATTTGGCTTCAATTATTTGCTTTAGGTAGCGTTCCATTTTTGAGGAATCAATTAAGACTTTTCAAACACCCTCATACGAAATATGTTTGAAATGTTGAGATTGTTAAGCATTTAGGATTCAAAACAATTATTGTGGTTATAAGAAAAAGGTTTTCCATCGAAATTCTCTATACTTTTGTTTGAGAAACGCTTACAAAGATGTACCCCACATATCCCACATGACAAACATACCCCACATATCCCACATGACAAACATACCCCACACGTCTTGCATACCAAACATATTCCACATACCCTTTACTACATTCAATCGTAAAAAATCCACGACTAAAGACGCAAATCAAATTGAAATGTTGTGCAATGTCATGTATTGTTTTCGAAAGCATTTTTAAAGAATGGAGAAATCAATCATCTTTGAAAGCAACTATTTTATTAATTTTTTTTCGTCATTTTGAAAAGTGCTGTGCATGCGATAGTCTTCTACTACCTGACAAAGTATCTCCGACAGTCGACTAAATCTATCCGATGTTTACACCGAACTCCGGTTAGCCAAACTTACCACAAGGCTATTTTTCTTAACTCCCGCCAAAATACTCAAGACTCCAGGCACGACAAACTAACAAAACGAAAATGAGCATTGTAAGATATTTGTTGATATGGATCGTCCACGTTAGAGCAGCACTGATAAGGACGGTTGGTGTTAGTGTTGGTGTTGATGTGAAGATAACTACCTGTAAGGATGTCGAAACATCAGTCAACACCCACACCAACTGTCCCTCTCAAAATGGAAAAAGAAGTACTAAGCAATTTTCTGATGGTGTAAAAAGACAAAATAAAAACAATTACGATGATCATAAAATCAAAAAGTAATGTTTGTCATAAAATGTAAACATGTATTCTTCGTTAGCAAGCTACTTCATAGCAGCCATGTTGGATGATTTAACAAAGTATTTTCCTTATTTAAAATGCAAATTTCATCGAACATGGCGAACATTCCATTCTTCTCTTACTTCCAGGGGGATGGTTGCAACCCACCAATCGGCAAACGTGTAATCGGTGTCGGTAACACAATGGTGTCATACCGGACTGGACGTAAAATCTCCGTCGATACTCTGAAATTAACTCATTATTCAAACATGCACAAACACTCATTGTACTTATTTTCCGCATTTTTAATAATAATATCCTTGTTACACAGCAGCTCCTTTTTCTACGTGAAATACATCTACAGGTAAAGTATTTCTTCATTCATGCAGTTAAGAATTGTCATTTATTTGGAAAAGTGTTACTTTACAACTTTACAACATCAGTTAACTAAACTTTCAATATACGCAGAAACTATACCAAAACGTTTCGTCGTTAATTCAATTGAAGTATTTTATACAAACGTTTGCATTAATTAAAACTTTGACAATACGCTGGAGGCCTTATGCAGAATTTCCACATACTTGACTTTTAATATCCCATGGATTATTACTGATTTTGATATCAAGCACGCTGTAATTTACAAAAGAACACTCTTTGGCTCTCATTTCGCGAGCAAGAATTATTGAAAAATTATAGTTATTCATTTCCGACACTTTTTAGAAGAGTAAATCAAATTGTGATGACAGCAATTAGCAAGCACACCGTGTCCCTTGGTTTCAATCAATAATTGATTTGAGGATAATGAAACAAAAAAGTCCAAAATTTCATGATAACTTCGTCGCTCTAAAGTAATTTTCATTCCCTAAGTCTTTCTATTTTCATAAGTTTTTAAGGTTTTTCCGCGTGGAGAGGCCTAGTCTTTCATGCTTAGCTCTACGTTGAAAAAGTTTCAAACTGTAGCTACGAGGAAATAACACAAACTTGACACGTAGGGCGTCACTGTACAAAGAAAGCCTATCTTATTGTGTGTAGATAGAAACAAAGCAACCTAGCCACATTTCAACGAACGAAAGCAAATTTTGCGATGGTAAGAGACAATTGAATGCATTTAAGTGCAAGAATAACCATAAAAGTGCTCACTTATCTTACTTTTAAAATACACTTACGCAAAGCGACCATAGGCCAGCGTTCGCTGCGGCTCTTCCGGACAGTTTACTGGCCGAAATCGCACCACAAATAATAGCAATGATAGCAAAACCAAGCATAATCGATCCTGTCACAATGGATCCAATCGCAGTACTTCTTGTCATCACCATTTTCGCCAATGATTTAGGTTTTGGTAGAAACGATGAATAAGCAACAAAAACCTTTAGATTTTCTTCGAACTTCCTCAATGCAAGTGGTCTTAACTCTGTAGCGGAGAAAGCGCAGCTCAAAATATTTTAAGACGTGTGATTTTAATATTTAAATACCTTTACTGCATTGCCATTGGTTGTGAAAATTACCCCAAATTGAATTTTACCAATCACATTGTCCATGGGGAACTTTTTCTATGTAAATGTTTTCAAGAACGTGCTGTGAAATTCTCAAATCCGTTGAATGACGCAAATCCGTTTTAAAAAGTGCGTGTTTGTTTCGGCCATAGACCAGTATTCGCTGCGGCTCTTCCAGACAGTTTACTGGCCGAAATTGCACCACAAATAATAGCAATGATAGCAAAACCAAGTATAATCGATCCTGTCACAATGGACTCAATCGCAGTGCTTCTTGTCATCACCATTTTCGCAAATGATTTAGGTTTTGGTAGAGACGATGAACAAGCAACAAAAACCTTTGATTTCTTTGAACTTCCTCAATGTAAGTGGTCTTAACTCTGAAGCGGAGAAAGCGCAGCTCAAAATATTTTAAGACGTGTAATTTTAATATTTAAATACCTTTACTGCATTGCTATTGGTTGTGAAAATTACCGAAAATTGAATTTTACCAATCACATTGTCCATGGGGAATTTTTTCTACGTAAATGTCTTCAAGAACGTGCTGTGAAATCCTCAAATCCGTTTTAAAAGTGGGGTGGGGTGGTGTGGGAGAGTGATTTATCCTGATTTTAGCATTTTTATGAGGAGATAAATTCAGCAAATTCAGCAAGAAAGTATATCAATGTTTAAAGAAGATTTTTCACAATTTCAAAAAATATCCTATCAAATAAGAGTTACATATGGGGATTGTTGTAAAAACTATGAAATAAAACTGTTCAATGTGCCAACAAAATAAAATACAGTCTGTTGTAAGCGCTTAAAGTGTCCAAATTAAAATTCTCCAATATCTTTTTTCTGACCTTTTGCATAGTTCAATATTTTGACTATGAATTTTCCAGGCGGAAAGCGAATTCATAGTATAAATATAATTGCCCAACATAAAACTTTTAAAATGGCCATGGGTATATAATTTTATTAACAATAACGTTTCGTCTTTAGCTTAAGACATTTTCAGATTACAATACATACATTAGTTAGAAAACATATATACTAGTTATACATTATTTACATGGTGTTAATTTACAAGGTATAGTGATGACATTGTTGTGTGATTTTTGAGTTAAAGGACAGAGTGCTGTTGAATGGAATTAGATAAGATTTAGTGGGATGGAACTGCCTTGGACGTTAAGAGATGGTTAAGCTTAAATATTTTAGGTTGGGCAATTATATTTATACTAATTGACTTTGCCACTGCGTACCAGCTATGTCTTTTATGACAAATTTACATTAGGATTTAATGAATATCGAATTGTTATTAATGTAAAAATGTAAACATCAAGCATGAAAAAAAGTTGGAAAACACTGATTAACTGAATGGATTTCCTAATTCGACAACGCCACCTTGTTCCCATACGTGGTCTGGAATGGAGGAGGTTGAGCGCCATAACCATACCCAGGGACCTGGTACGGCATTGGCTGCACAACATAACCTGGTTGGATTGAAGATTGATTGGACGTCACGACTACAGCGCCTGCGTCCTGAACAGGTACACCAGGGGTCACGACCACTACAGGATCCTACAGCAAACATATCAAAGTGATTGAGGAGAGGAGTTGGCAAATAAATTTTGGGAATAACTAAAAATAAAAGTGCTTAATTTTATCTTCGTGACATATCCTAAACGAGAAGTAGTAATTATATAGCGAGTTTATATTTTTATATGCATGTGTTAATTTTTAAATTTTGTTTAAAACGATTATTAGTACAAATTTCAAAATACATGAATATGGATCCAACAATAACCGAGGCTACCTATGTACGCCATTAATACATAATCTTCTGCTGATTTGAATTTTGTAGCGTTGTTAAACGCACAAAGTTTTATATAGAACTTGCCAGTTGATGTTTTTCATTAAAAAACGGTCTTTGGACACTGTTACAAGATGCGTTTGACTGTAGACAAGACCCTAGTCAAAGTATCATATAAGCCTCGAGGACTTCATATTACACAGCACAACTTGCACTTCACGCACTGCACTTCCTCGACGAGAGCGCATTCTCTAGTAGTGCTCACGTGACTGATTAAGTGGCTAAGCCATGACGTCAAAGATAAAAACACTTACACGTGGTGCGCAACAAGTTCCCATACATCCAATTATGGACGCGATGAAAGTAATTATAGTTAGAATGATGTAGATAACAAGAACAGAGACAAAAACAGAGTAAACTGTGTCTATATCGTCGCACTTCATGTTCCCTGAAAGAGAAAATATAAAGACTAACAAATGTATAACAGACTAGAACATTAATTAGAACATTAATTAGAACATTAATTAGAACTTAGGCTTAACTAGAACATTAATTGGGTGGGTGTATATTCATATATTCAGTTGTGCTCTACTGATTTCTTTTGAAAGTGAATTGAATTTTTTAGCAAGAAGTTTAATACAGGCTAAACGATGCGCAATAAAAAATGTGTAAAAGCGACAAAAAGCCTGGGAATGTGACAACACTTACCATTAAACTATTTCACTCAACTAGAAACGGCTCCGAAATCTGAACCTGTTCTAATAGAAATCCTTTATAGTTTTATCCTTCTGAATACAGTGAAGTCTTCGCGCGCAAAGCAAGAAATACATTTTAGAGATAATGAAGTCATAATTTGTAATTTTTACGGAGATAGTTTTCCAGTTTCAGAGGCGCCATAAGTTGAAATGGCAAAGCCTTAAACTGAGGCCAAGCGGAGTCTGATCTTCTTCCACAATGAAGAACGCTCAATGTTAAAACAACAAAACACGCCTTACATCTTACTGTTGTATAACGAAAACTTGTACCATAATAATAACACTGATCACCCACATCTGTGCAACGATAATGGGATGACCTCACTTTGTTCACAGCGATTGTCACGATCATTAGAATAACACTAATACATTGCTATCCATTCCACTTTTCTTCATTAATACAAGGTACTACGTCAAATTTCACTGATCAGGACAACATTTTTTTGGTTTTGTAGAAGCTGCACTAAACATTAAAGTGCTTGCTCACTTACTTCTAACAGAGGATCTTGTCTCTATTACATACCAATGTCCCCAAACCATCTTTAGTTGCTGTTTCCATGCATTGATTATATGAAGAATGACTTCAAAAATAATTCAGATTTTAAATTAACATTATAAACTTTTATCAAAGGACGCAGAGTAAATTAGTAAATTAGTATGTATAGATCAGAATCATAACTACATTTCTTGTTGAGAAATATATATACAGGATCACTTTTTCAATCAATGTGCCAGAACTCTTTCACTCTCCTTTTCATGGTATGACAAGGACAACTTTTATCTATGAAAGTCCTTGCTAATCAAATTTACAATAAAACAAAGTTTCAACCCAAGCAAAAAACCCCAGCTTTCTGGCTTCTGAAATGGCTCACTGAAAAATATTCTTTCTTGAACTGTAAAACATGATCTTGAGCATAAAGCCTTAACTGAATATTAACAATCATCACAACCTATGAAAGAGATTGTTGAAAAATACAAAAGTTTACCACTTCTGACATATTGTAAACAAATAGCAGCTAAGTTTGTTCTAAGAATCATATAATGTTGAGTTCTAGCTTGGTGTTTTGAGATTTTATAACTTCTTTTTGCAAAATACCTCTCAGTTGTATACAGAATGCAATAAGAATGACTTTAGCAATATTTACACTAACTCTTGATTAGCAATGGACGTTTATGGAACTTACAGCCTTCTTCATTTCTGTAACACCAATATTTTCACTAGTTTTCTTTTGTTACAATAATAATAAGTGAAAGAATAGTATACTATAATCAATACTTTTAAAATTATCCTTAAGGATGTGACAGCATCAGTTCTTTTTATGGAAAGGGGAAAAAAACAGCATGGAGCATTCTTCTACATAACCACAAATATTTAAACTCATTTAGTTTCTTAGGAAGTGCATTTCCCCGTCAGAAGAAATTGTGTTTCACCTAAATTGATTCGTTTGTTTACAGTGAAAAGAATTTTGAGGCTTCAACAAATGTTAGTTCTCATTGTTCATGCCAGGAGAGTGTTCAAATGAGCAACTACCACCAACGTGTGACAGTTTGCTTTAACATATTCGTTGGTCAAACTACCAAGCTGCGCTTTGGCCTTTCTGTTTACAACCACAAATGGATATTCCTCCTCCAGATGAAAATGGGTGGCAAACGAGTGACGGGAAACTGCAAGTCTGAAGTCCTATGGATGACCATTCCCCCAGCGCCGGATTCCCTACTTGATAACGTTCATTGTGGTTGTAAGACTGGCTGCAACGTGGCTGTAACTCCCAACGTTGTTCATGTAACAAAGCCGGAGTGAAGTACACAGATGTATGGTCGTGTACTGCATGCACGAATGTAGATATTGATGACGACAGTGATGTTGAGGAAGAGGAGTTTCTAGATGATGACATTGACGACGAATTCGAGGCAGACCTTTAAAAACAGCGCGCCTTGTCTTGCACAATATGATTATGACTTTCAAAATATTATCTTCGCAAGAAACACCTCTCTGGAGGTGTCCAACGGGAATGAAAGAAAATCGGTCACAGATCACGGACTATATGTAGAGGAAAACTGGTAGAGAGTTTTAACCCTGAAGCTCTGATTTTTTGGCTTTGTAACGACTGAAAAATAAGATGGCAAGTTGCATTGAAATTTGAAAGTTGAAGGTGACGAGGACAATTTCAGTTTTGTGAGGCATTTTTAGAAGGTGAATACTGAAATTACAAATTTACAACAACATAAGAACAAAGATATTCATATCTTCAACATATTCATCGATATTGAAGTTGTTCACATAGGAACTGGTTGAAAACTTTGCTTCGCTTAATGACGACAGAGGTACTTTACTTTGCATATTTTGATGCAACTTACTATTGTTCATCAAAATGTCTTTCTATTATTTTTCTATGTCGATTTGTTTTGTTTCTTTACTGATATAATAAAGACGTAATTTGAAATTATTATGATATTAGCGATGTGAATAACAAAGTGTTATTAATTCAGTAAATTTGTAGCAATCTTCCATAAACGTCATTGCAGTTGAAATTTTGGTAGCAGTAGTAGGATTCTGTAATATTTCTACATTATTTAAGAAGCAGCAGCATCATATAATCTCCAGTTTGTTTTAAAACAATGCAGGTCGACCTTGTACCATCTCAATTTTCTGCCATTATAAAGCTA